TCAGTTCTAATAAAGAATATGTGTTCAGTGACCCCATCCATCAACATTATGGAAAATTAACTACCAATGAGTTAACTGGATGTTATCAACCAAACATGTTGCAATTTGTGTGTAAAGAAGATATTCCCATTTATACCTATGTTCCAGACGCAGATTGTGAAGCTACTTTGCTACACCCTTCCACTTCTAAAATTCCCCCAAGCTGTGAATACAGATTGTTAAAATTAAACAAATCATTTTGGATACCCTTGCACATGAGTAATGAGTGGTTATATATAGCACCTCAACCTGACACTCTAACCGTAATATGTCCACAACAAACAAAGACGGTAAAGATTAAAAATGAAGGTAAACTAACTTTAAAACCAAGGTGTAAAGCATTTTCTTCTTATGTAACTTTATATGCTATTTCTACAATTATTGATAATGTTACTGTTGACTTTATGCCTACAGCACCAGTTGATTTTGATTGTTATTTTGACAGCCTGAAAAATGAAAATTTTGAAAAGTTACCATTGGAAATACCTTTAGCAAATATTATGTCATCTACAGATGACTTGAGGTTGGCCAGTTTAAAAGTAGAGGAAGTAGAAAAATTAATAAAAGAACAAGAAAAGGAATATGATAATTGGCTTCTCACTGCCACCTCATGGGGTTCAGTTATTGGAATATTGATTATGATTGTTTTATGTTGTTGTTGTAGCCTTTGTTGCTGCAAATGTTGTCGAGAAGGTTGTTTTTGGCTTTATGATAAATGGTCACCTAGAGATTGTGTTAGACAAACTCATGACAGACTATGCGTCAACATACTTAATTACCCTCAGAAGGTGTCTTACACTAAAACAGAAGGTCTATCACCTTCAGTATCATTAAAGTCATTGCCCATAGTGACGCAACCTAAGGCCAAAAGTAACACTTCTAGTGATGAGGAGAGTATAGCTCTTAGAACTAGAAGTAAACCAAGATTATTTCGGTAAAATAATTGGAAAACAAAGATAGAAAGTTTTCACCAAAAGTATAGGTAAAAACTTTTCTTAAGGGGGAAGGTGTAATATGTACTCTACTATGTACCTTGAACCCCTCCTAAATAATTATGTATTCATTCCTTTGACATCTTATTATCAATATGTAAGTCACGGAATGAACAGACCAGATAGTGGAATAACTTATATCAGTAGAAATTAGTATGTTTTGGGAAATAACGGATGTATAAATCTTACACTAAGGATACATAAATTTGGTGCTATCTTGAGGAGGACATCCGGACCCCTCAGACGTCAAGATGTCTACGGTCACAGGGTCTGTTTGGGAATTGCCTCATTTCCGTTACCATAATATGACTATTCATTTTTTGATCCTATATAAACCACTATCTGGGCTGAAGAGGGACTATTCTACGACTACTATTCTATCACTGCTGTTCACTGGAACGTCAGCTTACTCTTTAAATAAACTCTACTTGGACGTGGACGCTGGTTGTTGCTGATTCACCTCAAAGCTTCCTGCGTGAGGGACTTAGCTTCCTCACCGTACCAACTGATTATCCCGACCAATAGAAAACCTATCAGGAACTCTACTACTACAACTACAAGATTACCTGGTAGCAACGACAATATAACATCTACTACAAAAGATAAAAAACATTACACAAGAAGAAAGTGGTCACGTAATATTAGAAGACACCGTCCTAGTCATCGATAACACGACAGCCTTCTGTCTTGTCTCCATCCTCTACAACAGTGATGCACAACCGGTGTGCCGCGGAGGCCATCTGGCGTGCTACGAAATTTTCACCTTATATTATAATCATAACCATGAGATAAATAATTGTTAATCCTGTTTTCTGCTCTGTCTCGATTTTCATTTTCTTCGCCATAAACCATTTACCATCTACCACCACTCCACGATATGCTAAATGGGGTTGGTGTGCCACCATGACTCGTCAACAATATTTAGTGTGCCGCGAGTGTTGTAAAGTTGCGCAATACTGCTCTATAACGCCTACTCATTATCTAATCGGACTGTCTGGCTAGACTGTAGCAACACACTACAGGAAGACAAATGATGATCAAGCTGTATTAACAAATAGTTAAGTGGGATTTCTTTCAGGACCTCTAAAACAATAACAGTCTACCACACTGCAAAGCGCAACAACCAAGAAGACGGCCATCTTCGGACTCACCGATGTCAAAACCTAAGCATACGTTTGTCTAACAGCAGTATCGGACAGCAGTGGATTCAATTACTTCCAAACAATTTGTAACACAATAACGATATATTTTGTAAGAAAATACTACATTGGTACAAGATAATTCAGTTATACAAATCTGTATAATTAACCAACAATGTACAGAACATAAAATAGATTATGTGATGAATGCATATACCAAAAATTTCCATACAATAAAGGACATTTTTTAAAAATAAGCTTACTATAGTTTGAGTGTCAGATTTCATGCCTAAGCTACATTTTAATGCTTGTATTATTACAAAATATTGAGACTCGCTTCATACCAGGCATGCCTATTCCATCCTAGGCAAGATGTGAAGACGGAGGTTAGTGTCGAGTGAGCCTGATATCGACCACAATCTCAGAGCCATTAGCTTTGGTACTGGAGAGGACTGTGATCTGTGTACAGAAAAGTTTGCACTCCAACCCAGTCTGCAATCAACAGAGGAACTACCTGAATAAGTCTCAGTCTCATAAAATCATGTAATTAAGATAAAAAATTATTCATTTTTATGTTCTTGTTCCTTCAACTTATAAATTTTTATGGCAGAATCGCACAACAAAACTGCAAACACAGACACAGCCCTCCACGTGTGATTCAAAAGTTGTGATGTGGCATAGGAATGTTCTGACAGAACAGTAATACTTCTGAGACACAAACATGCTTGCTCATTTGCACAACAACCGTGGTTGTAAGCAGCAAATGTTTTAATCATTTTTGATGATTAAATATGATTTGAAGCTTTCGCGGTGACGTAACTCAAAATGTTCTCGGGCGATCGGCCGCGTCAGACGGTTAAACGATGAAACCGATGTTTCAGGAATCAGAACCCTGGTGATGGGGACAGCGATGGTCCCTGAAACATAGGTTTCATCGTTTAACCAACTTACGCGCCTGAACACCCAAGAACATTTTATTGAAAAATGATAAAGTAACAGACTGCTAGTGTTACAGTTATAAATCACTACAATTCTAATTTTCAAACTTGTGGCATATCAAAATCTACCTTCACCACCACCATCACTGATCATTACAAAATTATCCCTTCTGTATAAAAAGCTGTTGTCAAAATGTGATAAATGGTTCAAACGCAAACCGCTTGTAACTTCATGAAGAAAAACAAACTTGCATGACTGAACCTGAAATATTTTGGTCCCATCACAGAACTCAAACCACTGTGATAGAACGTGTGACCATCCTGAGACTTGAGTAGTCTTTTAAGCATTTAATATTAGCCCGCACTTCCTGCTTCAGAAACATCCAAACAATGACATGGTTACGCTTCATTCAACCAGCTGCGATAGAGATGAGAAAAGCTAAAAAGAACACAAAATATTTTACTTTGCAAAAATTAAATATTCAAAGTGCTAAGAAAGACATAGGTATTTAGGACAGATACAAAGCACTCAAACTTCTTTGTATCACAGATATGAATACCAAATATTTCTGCCTTTCAATTTCTTTCATGGAGTATCATTCACATTTTCTTCAAGCAACATGTTCGGCTTAGTTTGCCAATTGCAATTTGGGCTCGCACCCTATAATTGCCAGTTTAATACAATATAAATGATAGAGGAACAAGATTTGGATGATGGAAGGGGAAGTAACACTAAGGCAATGTACTACGTAAGCGATCACAAGCGAACGTAGCGAGCTGCATAAGCAGCACAGTCGGCCAGAAGAAGCGAGAGAATCGTTTGTTTTGTCCTGTGTGGAAGAACGCAAGAGGCGGCTAAGACACATTCAACATCAGTATCCACAATGGCGTAGTCAGGCAAACATGATCTTCTGCTGTCGGAAAGTAATTCGGCTTCATCACTGCACAGTGTTTAATGTAGTATTTTATTATTTCTAATGTAATCAGTTTGTACAAAAAAATAAAATTTTAAAAAAGTACCTACTTGTTTCTCCTATATTTCCTGTGATCTTGCTCCATTCCCTGTCCACAAGCACCCGATTATGATAACTGTTATGCTTCATATCCCAAAGAATGCATCTGCTTTTCACTTCACTGATTACAATTTCCGCTAATGTTTCCGCCATTGTGATGAGATGCAGAGCACACAGCTTTCTAGCGCCTTCCCTGTACTGCACAGCCAGCACAGTGATTTGCACGAAATTATCAAAATATTTGAACTTGTCAACTCCTTGGACTTCCGCCGCTTTGCCGGTACCAAGGACACTGCCACAAATGGCCACTTTGATATTTCTGTGATGCCCACGCCCCCCGCACTGCTCGCATCTGATTGCTTACGTAGGACGGTGCGTAAACACCAACTGAATAAAAAGAAGCTGATACCAGAAGTAAATGCAGAAATCCCTTAGAAAACTTGGTAGAGAGATGTTTCATGTGTAGTCACATATGGGTAAGAAGAGACTGGTACAAATATGTAAAAATATGTAAAAATCGTAAAACATCAACAGAGACAAAATATACTTAGAATGACCTTCAAAAAGACTAAAATTTACAGTTTTTTGTCATACATGTTTACAGAAAATCAATCCCGATACAGCAGCAGATGATCGTAACGTGCAAGCGCAAATTATGAGCATCTGGGATTGATGTTCGTGTCATGCAGACCGTAATATTCACCTCATCTTGTTGAAAGGAGCTTCCAGCGCAGAAACACAAATGCAGATACTCTCAGCACAAAGAAGATAACAATCAAGGCAACAATATCCAGGGTGAAATCTGCATTTACCATATCTAGTTCCTCCAGGGTTGTCATTGGAGACTTGAAGTGACAGTACACCTGTAAGCACATAATATCAAGGTGCTGCACACTACGTTAACAATCACAAAATCTGTCCACGGTTGCAAAGAACTTTTATGAATATATGCACAAAGTGCAACAACTGAGTAGGATTTGAGGTCTCCACAGCGGTGAGTCTGAAGATTTCTATCTTCTGGGTTGTTGCACCGTGTAGTCTGGTAGATGTCCACCAACGTTTCGGAGGTCATGCTACCTCCGTCATCAGGCGATCGCCGGGATAATCGGTGCACGTGCGACACAGACACTCTGAAGTGTAGTAACACTTTGTGATTGGAAATTACCACATGATATCATATATAAGGCAACGTTCACAAAACAGGAAAATTGTGATGATTAGTGAGATGGAATATCCCTTTATTATTTAACTTAAACTGCATTAACTAATACCATCTCACTGTATACATATATTTTAATTCATACTCCGCTATTACAGACATACACCTACAGTAAACTCCTGATTATCTGTATGTGGACTATACATGCACGATGTTCTTTAACATACAAACGGATATGTATGAATTAGGCATTCAACACCACAATGTCCATTTCATTGTGTGTGCATATGTGTTGATTGTAGGCCAGGGTGTTGGCCATCCTGACTCACATATTTTGTGGTTTTCCTTTTTTCACTCAACAGTATATAACCACAGTAGTCAAGGAAGCATCATTAAATAAAATAGAGGACAAACAGACACAAATAATTTATTTTATGCCACAACATACCTGATGGCATTTGAGTTTTTCTCGACCGAATGCGTAGGTGGCTAGGGCTGTCCCTTCGAAGCCGTAACGGATGTAACTGAGATAGGTGATCCAGCGGAGATATATTGGTATTGCATCAAAGCTGACGAAGAAACCAGAAAACAGAAGGAAGGGCACTGACATCACAGGAGCCAAGAAGACACCATTCTGAAAACAAATCACACAAGTTCTTCGGACTTCACTTACATTATGAATTCCCAGAAAACAGCAGTCGGATGTGCAGAAAGGAGGAATAAAGAATTGATATAAGATTTCCACAGCAGTGAACATGTTGATGTTGGTCTTCTGGACTGTAATATCACACAGACTTGTGGGTAGATACTATCCCTAAAGATGAAGAAAAAATATTTCTTCGAAATGCAGGCATCTACACAGTGGCACACAATATGATACCCAATTGAATGTTAAATGCTTTAATATCCATATACATATAAATACAATGACCAGCTGCAGAACCTGTCATATCCATCTTTGATGAATAAGGCAAAGACAGTCTCCAAAACAATGGAAAATCATTTCATACAGAACATTGTTCATAGCCCAAGAATACTTTACTGAACAAGCTAACAAATCCACCAAAAATTCATTAATTCGCCCCCCCTCCCAAGCAACCAACAGTCATTCAGTTGACCAAAAAATCAATCCCACTATAGCAGCGTTTCTCAACCTATGGCACGCATACCACTGGTGGTATGCAAACTAAGTAAGAAAATCAAAAGATAATACCAACATAAATACGTTTTCCCTGAACACAATTGGTTAGTGGTACATTTAATGTGTTAAATTAGAATTAATGGTACGCCAGTTAAAAAGTGAGAACCCGTGCACCGTGGAACCAGAAGATTTAACACATCTCTATACTATCAGCCAAAAATTAAGAAACTTTCTATATGATATGCATGACAATACATAACAGAAATCACCATTTACAAACCTGAACGTTCATGGCAGCTCCTACAACCAATCCAACACTCTGTGCAACAAAGGATATGAGAAGACACGCGGCAAGGAACATGGCATACCTTGAAAATTCACATGGCTGTGCTGTCAAGAAGTATACTATTGTGACATAGATCACACAGAAAATTGCCTGTAACACAAACAAAATATTTATACAGGTCACACACTCACAAAGCACAAAGTTGATGACCACACAACCAGAAAAATACAAATGTACTGTGAAATCAAAACAGATTATCGTGAAAGTAGAAGACAGTAGTTTACAACAGGCACTGACCATCTCCTAATTCATCTTTACTAAAAACTTTCTCATGCAATTTAATGCTATATAATTTTTACGTACAACATTCAATATAAGTTGAAAATGCAGTTAAAACTCTCTGTAATCAATATGAGATGAGATTCTCGTTGTGGTGAAGATGTGAATGTTGGTATTCTGGGTAGTAGCACTATGTGGACATGTAGATAGAAACCAACATTTCAGAGAAACATACCACGGCCATCTTCGGGGCTGAACCTTCTGATCAACACCACCATCGGTACTTGTTTGCACTGACGAGCACTAAACTTTTTGAGACGTCAGAGGGAAAACAGTGTAGGAGATCTATCAATATTGTTTACTTTTCGCTATTCTACATACAAAAAAAAACATGAATAATATAATGATATCTATCCAAAACTGAAACTTCACACATTTCCTTCATCTCTCCAGGCAAATAATGAGATATCGTAGTTCCACCAAGGAGGTCGCAAACTGCACTCCGCCACCAGGGACATGCTACATTAACTTTTAAAGGCAGTGAATTAATAGTCCTTTCAAGAGTATCCAGTCTTCCATACTCGCTCTGCAGTAACAAATACTCTGAAGCAGTGTATCTCAGCTGATCACCTTCTATTCATAAACCAAAGAATTCAAGTCACAGACAAAAACTGAGAGGATTTAGTTCGAAAGATCATATTGGCCAAGCAACTGGCTCACCTCTACCTATCCAATGATAAAGAGTGTCATGTACAGTCAGCTGAAATGTGGTGGAGATCCAGCATGTTGTAGACACACAGTTATATTGCCAAAGGAACATACTCAAGAAGTAAAGGCAGCTCATTTTGCAAAAAACTGAGGTACATTAACCCTGTACAGCAGCCTTAAAAGTGTGAAGTCTAATCAGTTTGTTGAAAATAACGCCTCACCACGTTTATTGAGAACTTATCAAAATTCCTTACAGTTATATCATTTGGATTCTTTGAAGACCAGAAACTTTATGCATATTATTGACATAATCATGAGTAAATCGTGCTTCATCAGTGAACAAAATTAAGGGGTACAGTTCCACTGAAGCATCAACTCACTTACAAATTGTAACCTTATGTCATAGTTCCACGGTTCTAGTCGCTGAATGTGGTAAATGTGATACAGATACACGATTTCAAAAATTGGAGCCTGCCAGACTGACTACAATTACCGAGCTGTAAAAAAATTCTAATCGTGAAAATCCTGTTATGTTCCTTTGCAGAGACCATAAATGATGTGCGTATCACCATACTCCTTATTTGTTTACTGAGTAAACAACACAGAGACAGTTACTTTTCCACGGTCTTGTACGCAGAAAACAAATGAAAATACATATTACTTTCCCAAAGTACACGCTGAACAACTATTGTAATGCAGCGTTCACTGATACAAGAATGTGTACAGCATTGTGGCTACATACAAACAATGCAAAGCAGATACTACACGCTGCAGCGAAGTGTCAGTAAGTTGCACTAGGCTCAGATTAGCCACATCATCCTCTGCACGCCTGCTTTCCTCCTCCAGGCAACATGCTACAATTTAAATGCAGCAATAATATTGTGCCCTACATGTACAATCACGAAAATATTTTGTATTCATGGCCCTTCACATACTCTGAGCACACAGAACTCTGTAACCACTGCAAACGGCACAGGTTAATACACCATATTTTCTTCAAAATGACTTATCAACACCCAGAACTCTGTAACCATTGCAAACTTCACAGGTTAATATACCATATTTTCTTCAAAATGACTTATCATCTCCTTCAGTTTGTGCCATTTCTCCCAGGACATTCCGTATAATATAATAAAGCTTGTACATACTGTCAACAGCTGGCAACACTACCGCAAGCTCCACAGCAGAAAGGAGAATTTACACGAGGAAACATTTCCAAATGTGTTCTTTCCTATTTTGCATACCTCATTAGCCTTAATGTACATTTACTACAATTATAATTCTGTTGTTCCAAAATTATTCACAATACTACAGATACAACAGTGCTGTTACGTGGGTAGCAATCCTCCAGATACTGAGACGTTCTGTAGTTTTGCAGCAGTCCCTCTAGGCAAATGCCAGAATTGCAACTTATATTAGGCCACGTCTGCTTCCTCCCACACACTTTCCAGATCTTTATTTAATGATCATTCTACACTCCTTGTATTTCAATAGATATTCATTACATCAGAAAATATAATACAATCATCTGAACTTATGTTTGCAGATGTTTAAGCAGAAAATCTGTGCCAGTAACAAGAAAGTGCATCATACAATTTCATACTGCTTATTTCTACATTAATTTGGAGGTAGAAGAGGAAAGTATGTATCAGCCCTTACCTGGAATGGTATATCAGATAATGTTATGGCAAGATAGTACGACCTCAGCGAATACCAGCGATTGAAGTTCTCTTTCACAAGAACAGGCATTTCCAATGGAACTGAAACAAATATTTGCCCATAAGGTTTTGTATAGTCAGCGCAGGTTTTTGGCCGGTGGAGAACCTTGCGGACGGGCTTATTTTGTGTACCTGAGGTGGCACAATCAGTGTATTTCTTTTGTTTGGGATTTCAGTCTGATAAGCTCCTCGTCCTTCCTGGTGGCAGATGAAACATTGTACTGTCATACAAATGACTCCCTCCCAGCCTTCCCCTTGAAAATTCCACCGGCCAAAAACTACTGCAATCACTATACACAAGAGAAAATGATTGCTAGTCACAGCAGAATTCATACATTGCAAGATAAACACGTTCCTGTACTCAGACCCTGATTATTTATTCACTTCATTCATCACATTTACAAACAAATTAATTTATTTACAGAATTTATTTCTTTATTATCTGTGCATTAATTTTACGTATCTAAGTCATACCCTGTCAAACAATAACCGGCAAAATACATCAACCACAAAAATAAACACGAGGCGAAAAATAAAACGTGTAAATGGGAGGACAACAGTGAACTGGTCTGAGCTCAGATTCATGAAACAGAACTTACACGAGAGGATGGTGATTGTCATGGATGTGTACATGAGGAACAGCATGTTGAAGAAGAGGAAACCCAAATTACTCAGGACCTTGGCTCCGTCATTACCGATGTCGTAATACAGGGCGCCGATCAGAAGCCCGACCAGGATATGAGCAAATAGTCGCAGGTACATCAGAGTCTGCAAACAAGTGTCAACCCTTCAGTAAGTGTGCACTTATATTTTATGTGTGTGTCTGCGCACACGTTCATGCTACAACTTACATTCTCCTGCTTTTCGTTATTCAATAAAAGTAATGAGTCTGTATATTCTTTAGTTCTATCTAGTAATAAAACAAGGAAAAGAAGTGCTGGTCGCAGGAGGAAAGAGATGGAAAAGTATCTGAAAGTCCTAATGTGTTGTGAGGACCAAATTTTAAGTTTTCGTAGTGATCTATGTGGAGTCATCTGGTTTATAATACTCTACATTTCTGGAAAAATAGAAAAGAAAAAAACTTGCTGTCTCAGAGAAACCAATTATCAGTATCTACCTTTCTTCAAAAGAACAGTTACTTTACAAGTATGCAGGGTAAAAGTAGAACAGAGCGTTATGTTGGATTGAAATGAGAAGACGTTCATGTATGTGAATTTCAAGCCAAATGGAGGAGAGTCAGAGTGAACACAGAAAAAAGAAAGTCCTTAGCAAAGCTAATGAGGTGAAAGACTTCCCTTAAATTTGAGAAATGTCTTTCTCCTTTTCTTCACTGTATGGATAACAGCAATGAGGGCCTTCATAATTTGTATCATCCAGCAAAAATTGCTAGAATGATCAAATCAAGGAGGGTGAGATGAGCAGGTCATGTTGCATAGGGAGATACAAAATACGTACAGAATATTTTCTGGAAAGTCTGAGGGAAGAGACGACTTAGAAGCCTGATGTATGGATGGGAGGGCATGGACTGGCCGCATGTGGTTCAGGATAGCGACCAGTGGCAAGCTCTTGTGAACACAGTAATGAATATTTAGGTAACATAAAAGGTGGGAAATTTCTTCACTGGCCAAGTGATTGTCAGCTTCTCATGAGGAATTGTGTGTCACTGAGTTAATCAGTTATGCATAATAAATGTTAATTTATTTAATAAAAAAAGTGTCCTCTCTTTTACATCTACGCCTTCGCAAAGAAATCAAGACACATGAACCGAATTATCCACGGAGCCACTGAGACAAAGTCCACTATAACACTGTCAGCAAAGGGACAGCTTCTAGTCAAGTACCACGTGGAAGCCCATAAGTCAGGAAGACATTTTCAGAAGACGAAGAATAAAGTCTCTTCACTAATTATCCCTGAACTAATCTGTTCTTTCATGTTCTCCATTCAATCTAAAAGACATTTCCCTCAATTTTGGATATAATCTTACCTCACCTTCCACCCCTGATAAAATTCTAGAAGACGGAGACAGAAGAATTCTCAGCAACATCAGAAGATTCTCTAAGTTGTACACTCTCTTCCCTCCTTACAATGCAGTGGATGGCAAAAAACTTACAAATTAAACAAAAGCACATGCTAATCTTAAGCATTACAATAAGTCACAGTATGTAACATCTTATTGTCATACCCAGTCTCGCCTGCTGAAGAGCAGAGTCCTCTTCAGAACAATCCAGAACTGCGTAAATTCCGAGGTCGGGTACCGCCGTGGACTTGCAACAAAGCCTGTGTCTAGCAGCGCTGCTGTCACATTGTCAGGCGCCTTTTCCGAAGCCGTCAGGTCCACAGGAATAACGACATTTGGAGGAATGGCTTCAGCGCCTGCAGCTGCAAACAGCACCTCACACTAACTGCCTCTGACAATCTCCTACCTGCTGGTACCGGCTCCCACCCCCCCTCCCAAAAAAATAAAACCTGCACACACACAAATGAGTCAGCCTATAGATGCATCATAGTAATGCATAAAAAGCCTGTCAACCTAAATGTTACTCAAACTAACTAACTAGATGGCTTACCGAACCCGAAGGTTCATCACCGAATTAACCAAAGCCCTCCACCGGACCCTGTCCTGGGCCAACAAAATCCAGTTTCCTTCAACTCCTATCTCCCATAGATCCCGCCTGACATTATCCTCCCATCTACGTCTAGGTCTCCCCAGCGGTAAATGTTACTGAACCAAAGATAATAATTTGCTACAATTAATGATAACTGAAAGAATCTTATAACTGTTACTACAATTACCTTGTTCCTCCTTGGTAACATGAGGATGATACAGATTCACGCTGTCACTGTACTTGACACCGCCAGCATCTCCAATCTCAACTGCTTTTGCACCAAAGACTCCATTACCATTTGTGAGTTTCACACCAGCATTGTTGAGAACTTCCGCTGGTGGTAGCTCTGGGAATGGTTTTCCTGTACGGATATCATGTTTTCCATTCTGGATAGCATTCACCAATTTACGAATGTTGTCACCATATTCTCCACACGATACCTCAATCACTGACGACAAAGAACATTCATGGTTAATACTTTGCATTGTCAGAAAGGACCTGTATACTTATACTTAAACCAACCACCATGAAACCTGTTAACTACAAATAATGACAGAGGGTGTTTCTTAAAAGGCTGACAGTTATTCAGCAAATTATAGTACATCTATCTGTATAATAAGCAATGCTGCTTCGTAGCTTCGTTGTTTGGCTGATCATTTGCACTGTGCCACCTCAAATTTTGATTAACAAAAAGTTTCCTGTTATAGAACCTTAATATTCATCATCCTAATCACAAAAATCCACAATTGGGCCAGATTCTGGGCCATTTCAATGTAGTTCAGGTCTATTAGTGAAACTTCTGTTGGCATTGGTAATAATTTCATGTTAAGTGCTACAGACAGAATTATTCAGAGAGTGATCGACATAAGTACACTTACCAAACGATGCTGGGTTGTGATAACTTGGGCACACGAGTCCAAGGGTGCTAAGGAAAGGCACAAGTTGTTGTGTTGAACCCTGGTACACACACTGCCCTTCAGCCAGTGTGTACAAGTGGTCAAACATCTCAAAAAGCCTGGCACTCGGCTGGTGGATGGTACAGATGATTGTTCGACCACCTCGGGCCAGAGACTTCAACAGTGAGATGCACTGGAAGCATGACGAGCTGTCCAGACCACTAAAAAGACAACAATCGGGAGTAGCAGAGAATTATTAAACAAGGGACCTGGTGACCTAGAAACAGGGCAGTGGCCTTCGGTTACAGACCAGGTAGGTCTAGTGCAGACCTTTTTGATCACCAGTCTTAACTACAACATAATTTTGTCAATGTGGAACCAAAGAGTTTGATGAAGTCTGAGTAGACATGATAATAGCAGTAGAACCAATGGATACACAGAATCTTGAGGAAGATCTGGCAATCAAATGAGACACCACATGATCGAAAGCAGGGAGTGAAATTACCAATACATAGACAAAAAAGGACACAAAGAACTCAGCAATAACTATAGGCAAATGACACTTTTTTGTTATTGGTATACCATTTATGAATGAATTGTAACTAATAAAATACAAAATATAACAGTAGTAATCATTGCCAATGAGTGAAAACCCTAGAAGTGGCCTAGCCCCTTCAGGGCAACCAGTGCGGTAAAGCCAAGGGGAGCCAAGCTATGGGGATAAAGCCTTTAAGGGCAAAATCTCTAAGGCAGACAAGCCTGAGGAGGAAAAGGCATGGGGACAAAACTCTCACTGTGCAAACTATGCTACAGACACCCTTTGAAGAAGCCCTGTGGGTTGCCCAGTTCTTACCAGGCAGCCTTGGTAGGACATAGCCAGAACCACGCCACCCTATGGGTGTAATGCGTGCCATGACATCAGGGAAAACAAGGGGATAACAAATACAAAAGTACCTGCTCCTTGTCCTTTAAAAGCAGGTTTGACCATTACCTACTTCAGTTATTATTTAAAAATGAGTACAAAGGATATCGGATTGTGGTCTTTCACAGTGAGGAGTATATTGACACAGTCATCAATATATGCAGATGACATCGTGCTAATAGCGGACAACCAAGTGAAATTACAAAATGCAATAATTGAATGGAGAGAAGAATCAGAACTAAGAGGCCTAAAAATAAATAGTACTAAAAGTAAAGTTATGAAAATAGGGAGACACGTATTAGAACAGGATGGAAGAGACATGGAAATATACTGTGGAAATGAGAAATTGGAACAAGTAGAAACCTGCGAATACTTGGGGGTCATACTAACTGAAGATGGAAAAACTGATAATGAGATCCTAAATAGGGTAAAGAAGGCAAATAATGCTTATTACAAATTAAACAATACAATATTTGGAAAGAAAGAATTGAATATAAAAACCAATAAACAATTAGTTATAGAACAAAGACTATTATGTGGCAGCGAGAGCTGGCCAAACTTAAATAAATATTCATCTAAAGTTACAGCGTTGGAAATGAAATGTCTCAGAATATCAATAGGGAAAACGCGCAGGGATAGAATAAGGAACACCAAAATTAGAGAAGAGGTGGGAATTAAATCACTTAAAACAAAATTGGAAGAAAAACAACTGAAATGGTTTGGACATGTTGTTCGAATGGCAGATGAAAGAAAAACAAAACAGTTTTTGGAATCTAGAGTTGAGGGTACCAGAACAACAGGAAGACCTAGAAAGAGCTACTTAGATACTATTAGAGAAATAGGACAGGCAAAGGGGAAACATTTAACACAGATGAAATTCTTAGCAAGGGATAAGAAGGAATGGAGGAGGTGGACTGAGCAATCAACCCCGACGCTATAAAGGCAAAAATGGGAGATGAGAAAGAAGAAGGTCTTTCACGGCAAGTGAAAAATTGAAGATGGTTCCAGTAGCTGAGTAAAACAGGCTGCCGGGAGAAGGTTGGACGTCAGTGAGGCATGTATAAAAGACTGGAGGAAGAAGAAGAAGAAGAACGACCTTCTAATGGAGACTACAAGTAATCAAAGAGCCTTCAAAGGATCCAAACTGAAGTTTGAGGTAATCGAAGAGGAGCCAGTGGCAGTTCGGATATGCTGTATCGACGGAAATGTGCCGGATGAAAGTGCTGGGGCCAAGCATGTAACAAATTTTAAGGCAAGTCGAAGGTGGTTGGTGAGGTGTTTTGCCCGTAATAATTTAATCACAAGAAGACGGACCCAGATCGTGCAGGGGCTACCAGACGCATATGAAGAAAAGTTACGAACTTTTTAAAATATTTTTTCTTTACTTCCTCGAAAAATTTAAATGTGTTAATTTATTCATTATTAATTACTTATTTACTTTTTTAAGGTAAATAAATTCAAAAGGGAAAACAGGTCTGTCTATTTCCACTCTGCCCATCCCAAAACTCACAGATTGCACTGTTATTGAATTCATAACAGCAAGGTCATAATCAGGCATGGAATCGACTGAGCTATGGGAAAGAAAAAATGAAAACATTCTTCATGCAGAGGAGTCACAAAACATAAATAACTTGTGAGACTGATGCCTCTTCTCTACCTTGTGGGCTCATCAAAGAACATGATGGGTGGATTATTCACCAACTCAAGGGCAATCGACAGCCGCTTTTTCTGGCCACCAGAGAGATTGCTGGTCATTGTTTTACGATGCTCTTGCAGACCCAAAGTTTCTAGGATTTCTTGCACCTGTAAAGAATAGGTACAGCCTTGACATTTAATAAAAACAGTGTGCATCTACATGACAGCCTTTGTTCTGTAGTTAAAGAAAAATACTACTAGAGAAACAATTTTCTGAATATGCATTTCTGCCTTCCGTTCTTGGAAATGAATATGGCGATTTGGTGGTTTGCTGTACTTAATAAACAAGAATTCTTATGTTCGGAGGCTAGCTCAGGCTGGTAAACTTTAAGAAATTTTTTTTAGACATTACAATTCCCAAGTGACAAATCTTAGCTGGACAAAGCTTGGTGACGTCAGTCACATAATAGATGTGGACAACTCTCTTGGACACTTTTGAAGAGAGAAGATGTTCACAGTCACTCTTCATCAAAGTACATGTTTTATAACAACAGTGACACATAAACAGAGGTCACATTCTTATTTTAGCACATAGCTATGAAAGACTGGCAAATGTGAGGCAACGTCTCTACACCCTTACGGTTAAAGACTGTACGAAGGCTGAAATTCCTACAGTAAGATCAACACAACAGTAATAAAAGTTCCCACCTTAATTTCCAGATATAATCTTAAATCACATAAAACTAAAACTATGTGATCCCGAACAATGACAAAAACATTAAAATATGCCACACAAACACATACAACGTTACACACCAGAGTTCGAAAGATTCATGCCATAAAGAATGCATAATCATGCAAAGCATAAGCATTCTTAACTGAACCTTTTAGTATTACTATGATGAAAGCAAAGAGCTTAAGAAAGCCCATGCATATTGCTTTTCACAAATCAGGTGTTTTTTATATCTTTTGCACTAATGGTTCAGTAGTAGATAAAAGGATAGCATTAAAAGACACAGTTACCTTTAATGTTTTTATTCACTTCCTAACAAAGTGCCAATTCAATGGTTAGCATTATTACTACACATTCAAACGATCTTGAGTTCAACTACAACTAAGAAACCAACTTCGGACAGAAGTCTTTCGAGATTCTCTTTAGGTCTCCCGTGCAAATGATGCTGGGATACTACATTAATATAGGTTTTGACTGATATATCTTTCAAAATCACACTCCTGTTTGATGTCACTTTTCTCTTTGCACTTTCTGTCCACCCAAGCCTCAGAAAATATTACTGCTAGTGCAAATGCCCTGAAGATAAAATACTACATAATACACTAAAGGGGTACATACATATATCTATCACAGCACATGACCTTATTCATGAATTTCACTATTCAGGACCATCTCAGGAATGTATCCCTCATGAATACAAAGCTTCTGCATTCATCCATAATAACTTTAAATTGCAAAATTTCAAAAATTCTTAAAAACCTTCTGGCAACTGTACCAAATACCAGAGGTCGGTACTCAGAAACAAATAAACCCATAGTCTTTATGGGTGTTTTTTGTAAAATGTAGAAGGCCATGGTTTATAAATTACACACTGCCCCATATAAGCCATAATCTGAATTGAACTTAAAGGATCAAACAAAGCCTTTTGATTAGAAGAATTATCATAATGTAGAGTTTCAAGGGACACCACACCAACACATACAGCACCACAAATGGCAATTTAAGATATATCCTTTCCTCTGTCAAAATACTTCCAACATGTGGCAGGATACTACTGATTTATCAACAGAGAACAGTTTATGCAACCTAGGTTGTAGTGCGGTGTAGTCTGGTAGAAGTTTACCGACATTTCAGAGGTCCTTGCTAACTCCATTATAAGGACAAAGGAGGCAGCAAGGACCTCTGAAATGTTGGTAAACTTCTACCAGACTGGATGGCACTACTGTAGCCCAGAAGACAGCCATCTTCATACTCACCCGCCGTGAGAACCTCAAATTCTACTTAAAAAATTTACTGAATACCAACATTAAATACTGACACAAAACATCTCCTGTTCGGCAAAACACATCCAGACTAAATGGGTAATTTTCCTTGGCTCTACATCCACGTGTGGGTCTTTGCCTCCTCCTTTCAGAGGTTTCTTAGTCTTTTAAGTGTGCATTTGTGAGTAGTGAGTGACACGCCCACTGCCACTGCACAATTTCTACTCAATCCTGATTTGTCTGCTAGATCCATCTAGTAGAGAATCAGGAGAGGCTTGGGTGAGAAATAGCCGCTGCTGAATTTTGCTTATGAAACATCATGTTTATGCCCGTAAGGTTCTTAACATGCTGTGAATCTACGACATGGGACCACCAGCTTTACTTCCCCTCTGAAGGAAGTTACGCTATGGATTTTTATCACCCTTAAAAATCCATCGACCTCGGCTGGATCTGAATCTGCGAACCTTGGGTCCAGTGGTGAGCACGCTACCACTAGTCCAATATTAATACATGTATAATGACAAATATAAACTGATACAAACAAGAATAAGATATTCTATAAGAAAGTCAAGGTGCACTAAAAGCACATGATTTACTTTTGCCAGCTCAGAAAATAAGATGGCTGTCTTCTGGGTTGCCGATGCTGCATCACTGCTTTGATGATAGTGCACCTCTGAAATACTGGTGAACTTCTACACAGCATGGCCAAGCAGACAGCCATCTTCATATTAAAAACAAAAAGCTGTCCCGCTAAATGCCATGTAGGTGCTTGGGGAGGAGAGGTGGTATAGCTCCTACTAATTCCTAACCACAGCACTACATTGGGGTAAGTGGTCAGCATCATGTCCCAGCTACGCTTTATCCCCGGGAAAGGACCCTGGTACCCACTGGATAGGAGGCTGGGTGGGCCCCAGAGCTGGTCTGGACGCAGAGGCTAGATGAAAAATCCTCTGCCGCCATCAGGGATTGAACCCCGGTAGTCCAGTCTGTAGCCACTCACTATACTGACTGGCCATCTTCATACTCAGCTCCAGATTAGTCTTGCCTGGAAATAAACACGACTACACACAAGCAAAATAAGGGTCTTAAACCCTGTTTGTGGGACCAGAGCCTGTCTCCGGCATATGTGAAAGAGTTATCAAGCAAGCTGTAACTGAGTGGGCTGGTTCTACCACTCTGGAGGTCATGAGTTGAACCCTAGGGATTATCAAAAGGTCCAAATCAGCTGACTAAAGCAAATGAAGGGATCTACAACACAAATGTTTAATGTCACTGTAGTGCAGATGGTATACGCCCAGCTATTTCTATTTTAATTGTGCCTGGTAATATATAACAAAATATTAAGACTTAACACAAAGATATCAAAATAACAGATCAAATTCAGTGCTTACATCAAAAATGATGCAATTACGAAAAAATACATATAGGTAAACTGTAAGCATGCTTTAGCATTGTGTATAGTAACATACATTTCACATTCTTACATACACCAAAATTTCCAGGCTGCAAAAGAGAAAAGAAATTACAGTCATAATTTATTTATTTATTTACCAATGATACTTAACTGTATTTGCCGACAGTCCTAAGCAAACCTGGTTCGAAAAAGCAAAACCATGATGGTAAGTTCAGACCTTATGACAAAAACTGGGTTAGAGGAACTAAAGAAACATTAAACTTAATATGTATAATTAACAGCTGATAAACATGGAAACATTAGTGCTAGTGTTTAATGGGATGACATCTGCATTCCTGACTGAAAGTTGTCACAGTGATCAAACAAAATGAAAACAATCAGTTCATAAAGTTGCAACTGCAATAGCGAGGGACCTATGCCACGATGAACAAATATTACCACAATAATTCTTCCATGAATAAGCAGAACTGTGAAGCGCAAACCCGCGAATGAGGATGGTTTATGCCGTTTATTTCTCCCATTGCATAAAGGAAAAGCCATCTATCCATCCATCCCTGAGTTTATCACAGACTTACAGACAAAATTGCAGGATATTTGTTGAGTACCTGTTATTTTCATGATCCACAATAATTAATGTCATGGAGATTACAGTAAAGAATGTCAGCAAAGTTAATTGTGGTCTTTTGAGTTGTGATACCATGTAGTGTTGTTGCAGGTTACAAATGTGTTGGCCGAACACACTGCTTCCATCCAATTTTCAATCCTGATGATGGAGGTAATGCATTCCCCACAAAATTCTGGTAACCACCAACAAGGTTAAAAGGTGCCACAACTCAGAAGCCGCAATCAACATTTTCACTCAAATCTCTCAACATTCTGAGTGTGGCTTAACACCGATATTCCTTAATATTTATGACAATTTCATCACATTTTATGACGAATCTGCAATTAAATTGCAAAAATTCACGTATTAGTTTCTCTTTGTTTGCCATTTACCCTGACTGTAACAATTTGAGAATTGATGGATTTCTTTTTAATTTAATACTGAGGTTTTTATTGAAATTTGCCAACACTTTCCAGTTTTCTTAAAGTCGCACAATAATAGCACATTCTTTACGTGATCTGCACATATTTCTGCAACAAACTCGAGAGTGTGTCACCAAGTATTTATCAGAGTAGAAAATACTTTTAGCAGAAATAGAAAAGAATATAAAACATATTCAAACGTGTTATTTTTCTCTACAACTTACAATACGCTTTTTCCAGAGTCTCGTGTTATTCAAACAAAGAAATGGGACTTTTATGCTGCGCCATCTTATAACATCACATTTTTATTACACCATTCAATGTCATCGCATGTTCTAATAGGAAGCCTGGCAATGATGGACTGTCATACAATTTTAAAGATAAAAGAGAATAATATGGGGGGGAGAGAGAGGGGGGGTTGAGAGGGAGAGAGAGAGAGAGAGAGAGAGAGAGAGAGAGAGAGAGAGAAACACAAATGGTTACAATCCCACAAAACTGTCACCAATATTTCCTAGAGCTTACCACTTCTTGCTTTTCATCCTTATTCAAATCCTTGCCAAGCTTGAGGTTTGACGCAACACGCATGGCCTCCTCCACCGTTAGGTTGGCATGCAGTTGGTTGTCCTGCATGATGTAGCAGGACAGCTTGCGAAACTGACTGAGGTTGCGTTCTTGCCCATTGATCGTGATGGACCCATTCATTCCAGAAGTCCTGGAAGTTCAAGAACATTTACTATTATTTAATTCTGGCTGGAACAGTTTTTATGTCATGATTTTTTCTGTAGCTTCGAAACAACAATAACATTCCCAAGTCACTAATATAAATGTAAAATTTTTTCAAAGAATTTCAGAATTATAGTATTGTAACTTCCATAAATTTGTGGCCAGTCCAGTAGATGAGCAGCATAATTAAGTAGCCATAATTGAATTATCATTGTGTTAATCTGTCAGAATAAAATACAGGCATATTCCATGTGGTTCTAACGATCTGTAACAATGATCTAGTATTACCATCAGAGAATTTTCTTTGGACACCATACACTATGTGAAAAAAATTACATATACAGTAGATTCCAGTTAATTTGGGACATTGGTTAATCAGGGCAGCCGCTTAATTGGGCTAAAGTGTTCTAGTCCCGATGTGTCCCAATTAACCGGAATCCAATATATAGTGTTTTCAATACAGATCCTGTCTCTACCTTCAGTAGAAAGAAAGGGCGCTATGCTATATACAACTTGCTTTGGTACTGAATGTTTACAATACTCAACATATTTCCTCCTAAAATGGGAAAAAAGAAGATTATGAGTATGAATTATTCTTAACCAAACAGAGATGTTAAAACTACAAAAGAAAGACTTCTTTTAATTTTTTAGCTGTAAAGACTGCTAAATGAATATTTGGGTTTCAATATCTTACCAACTGACCACTCAAGAAATACTCCATAATATGGAGTCAGTTTCTAATTGTGAATACCATAAGTTTTCCAGCAACTACTTATCCATCCATTAATTCATTTGTCTGTTCCAATCGTTATTCATTAATTTCTATCTTTGAAAACCTCCAAATATACAAGACACATACGTTATAGCTGACGAAATTTGTTCAATATTCGAATAAAGCTCTCCTCCCTTTCAAGAGCAGCCCAGCGACAGAGGTGCAGGACTATGGTGCCGCTTCTACGTATTATTCTATGTATAACCGAAGACGAAGTGAGAAAAAGTCTGGACATCTGCCAACTAGAAACTGTTCCCACGATTCAATACCAATATGCATATGTTAAATTAGAGGGCTGACCCAAGACACTAGGCCTTCAACAACTCAACAAGTTTCCATTATAAGTGTGACAGGTCTGGGCGCAGGGAGGAGCAGTTGCTTAGATACTGAAATAACTCTCTGTTTTTCTGGATCCTCTAAGTTCCTTCCATGTTTACACCTTTACATGGTTCCACCTGAACAGCGGATATTGTTAATCAGTACATAACATTCTTCCCTATTCAATCACCAAACACCCATTCCTGTGAGGTCCCAAGTTTGGCCTGGAGATTGGACATCCTGATTGAGGATTTCTGTTACTTTCCTCTCTCCTTCCAGGCAAATGCCAGGATAGAACCTTCAATCAGGCCACAACCACTTCCTTCCACATTCTTTTCAATTCATTAATCATTTCATAGCTTAACCGCACACAGTCTAACCAGACTCTACCATCAAGTGGGTCACAAATAAATGATTGGCCTTCATATACAATCCTCCAAACGTCATCTTCCTTCCGTTTGTCATAATTTTATCTTAACTCTCCTCTATGAAAAACTAGAGTTCACAACCCATGGGCTACATGTGGCCCTTCTACGTATTTTGTGCAGCTTACATGCCTTTGTTGCAGAAAACAAATTCTGTTAATATCAAATCAGTTCTTTTGGATGAGAGTAAGTGTGTGACTTTCACCTGGGACACGTTATTACTAATGAAAACTTGGAGGGATGTAAACAAAATTAAACTTGGAATTGAAAGATTACTCAAGCAAAAGTAGTATCATCTCGCTAATGGCCGATTTGTTTATAGAAAATTATTGAGTAGCATGTGAAACTATTTGTAACAAATTAGTAGCATTTCCTATACTTCTGTAGAAAGTTTTTTAACTTCGCAGCGTGCAAGTAGACAAATAAGACTGGAGCAAGTTTGGAAAAGTTTGGTAACAGCTGAATTACAGTGTCAATAAATACTTAAGAGTAAATTAATTTCACAGTCACTTCTATTATGATGTTAAGAATTGTTTTAATGTTCATAAACTAATAACACTCAAAACATTAATAAATTAACATCTTACTTAACTGTACTTTAATAACTAAGAATAATCTTCAATAAAAATAGCTTCTTCTTATCTCTTATTTGTATCTACTCAGTATCTGGGTGAACACACTTTTTTATGAAGTGATAGTGTTTGAGAAGGTGCGTGTACTGAACAGAAGAAAGTCAGACGAAATCAACCTCAAACCAGTTAAAAACGTTATGTAAATATGAGTGAATCAAAACAAGTTCCTGGATATCGGCCATTATACTTACAGAGGAAGTTCTTCTAACGTCTGACGTTCACTTATTTGTACTGCTTAAAAGGTTGGCATGTACATTCTATTATTTTCAAAATGAAGACTTTGCGTGAGAACGGAGGTTCAACCTTCGGATATATTTTACCGACATCATATCTGGCAGTATATTACGTCAGCCCAATCAGAGAAAACATCCCAGAACCAGAACATTATGTAATGTTGAATACAAACTGAGACAAAATGTGGGCCAAATAAAGTTTACTCTCTCATCAATCGCTGCACCGAGCACTGTCAAGAATCTGACCGTGTTAGTGAGGGTTGCAGACGCCAAAGTCGAAATCAGACAATGATCAAATTTTTGGCAGTCTCAAATTCTAAATGACAGATTTAAGTAAATATGGCATCACTTCCCACAAAGCAGCACAGATACTTGCCATGTGACCACCATTTTGGTGTTCTTGAGAAAATGCCAAATGTAGAGGGGAACCTGCGCATTTGCTCATAACACTTTACTGAAAATGCTGTGGGATGTATCATACCATACGTATGAGTTACCGACGGTGTGGGGGTGCATGGGAGCCCCTAGTAAACAACCGACAGCACTTCCTTCGACATAACCCTTCCAAATGAGTCACACTGAAACCCAAAAGCCAAAGATGATAATTTCTCTTACACTTACTTATATCCTGTAAGAATATTCAGCAAGGTTGACTTGCCAGCTCCAGATGGCCCCATAATGGCAGTAAGCTCTCCTGACCGCAATCGCCCGCTGACAGATTTGAGTATTTGTTTCCCATCTGCAAAGAAACAATAATACATTGTGACAGTATTTCAGGAAAGGAAATCTAGTTTCAAATGAAGTCATCAATAACTTCTGGTCTATTTCCTGGAAAATGTTAATATCAATTCTTTCATGTCTCATGATTATCTTTACGTGTAACTTTTCTTGATTATTTCTTTCCTTATACTTGAAGATAATGAGCTGACCTCCAAAATATCATGTCTTCAACCAGGCAATGGCCAATGTCGAAATAAAATTTTACCACAATGGTACACAATGCCAAACCTTTAGAATATCCAAATGGTCACTCATAATACGATAAATGATTTATCACGTCACATGGCGTAATAATTAACAATACGGTAAATGATTATCACGTCACATGGCGTAATAATTAAAATCATACTGATTATTAGGAATTATATCTCGGCCGTGCATGTAAATCCAATGCTTCTGTACTAGACACAGTAGCAAACTTCGCAGTGCTGCCATTTTAGTCACGGAGAAGCAGTACCCTACATATTCCCTCTGGGTAAGAGAATAGATATGCGGGTGGCTGAACGCCGTGGGAACGAGAAACAAAAATTACCTCGCTCCGGACAGAGAACGGCAGCCGTCCAGCCCAAAGACTATCACAAATGAACGAGGTTTCATCGACCTTTATCGAATCTAAATAAGGATATCGAATAATCTGCATACAAAAAACGACTAAATCATTTGTAATGTGAATCAAACTGAAAACAGTCAGCCATTAAGTTGGTACAAGACAAAAAGACAGCATAAATCTAAACATTCCGGCAGCCGAATGGGTGTTTCATTTCTCTCATATTTCGGTTTTGATAGCAGCAACAAATTTCTTTTGTATGAGACAATTCTAGCTGTAGGTTTCTGCACAATGACTGGAGGCCGTTCTTTAAAGGTGACTAAATCTGTGAAGAACTCTTCAAATTGGCTACTTAAGCAAAACAGCAACTGGGCTACTACAAAGGTGTCTTCACATTCTTTAATAGATATTTCCGAAATCGCGTGCTTTAATGACAGCGATCGTACTTTGCAAAGAGGCAGGATTTAAAATATTATTCACAAAATACGTAAGTAATTTCAGTGTTCATTAACAAGCACTGAGTGCTAACAGGGTCTCAGCCACATCGAATATACAATGAAAATATTTACAGAAGTGGTTTAACTTAACTGAGTCCCGAAGAACTTTTTAAAAAGGTTCTTTCCATGAGTGGATGGTGGTTTGCTCATGTATGCAATATTCTTCATGAAGCCATGGCGTAACCATGTGTCCACAATCGCAAGATACGCAATAACTTTCCAATCCAAATGTCCTTCACTGACTTAAGCGCTCATTTGAATGTTACGTGTGGAAAAGCAAAGATTAGGGAAGCAAATTCACATCATATTCAGTATTATTATAGCATCTGAATAGAAGTTCGATGCCATGGCTAGCACAGTCGTGCATTGAACAAGTACCTGAATAACATTAAAAATAACTGAGAACCGAGAGACGCATAATTTTAAATGTTTCTAGAAAGCCATTGCGCAAACATAAGGTTTTCCTAAAACATCTAACTTCGCGTATCACGAGAAAACAGTGAAGTTTTTTCAAGTATCTTAAGGGTGTAAAACTGGCAGTGAATTTATTTAACTGACTCTGAAACATGACTTTCAGGCAAACTTAATTTGGTGTGAAAATGTTACGTTACTGAAGAAAGAAACGTAAACAAAGATGTTAAGAAGGTTTGCAGCTGAAACAGTACATAACAAAACGCGTTTTTCAAGTTATCGGTACACAAACCTAAGGTAGGTTTTTACATGCGGCCTTAAAAAGGGCAGCCAACCCTGTAACACGAGTTCCCTATCTAAAAAAAGCTCGCGTCGTTCGTGTGCTGTGGGCGAACTACAGTGAACGAAACTTAATGGCTGGCAGTAGTAAGTTTATAATACAACAAACTAAGTGGACGACGGAGTGTATTCTTATCTCTATTCTGAGATTACGATGGCATTGACATACTTTAACACAATTTTACCTCTTTGGCTCTTAAAACGTCGCTGTGCACAAAATATTTTACAAGTCGTAATGTCGATGCGCGGGGCATTTTATTTAATCATAATAAGGGTCGAAAGGCACCTAAAAACGGTGTTTTGATACGTCGAGATAATTTGGGACAACACGCGAGTGCCGCGGTAGGTCCACTTGGGTTAACGTCCGAGCTCCATAATGACATGGCATTCATGCCGAGTTGACCAATGTCGGTAACATCGATCGCCATGTTTCAATTTCAGGACACGCAACTCTGTAATAAGTTACCGAGAAGAGAAGCTACGAGCCTCTGGAACCGTACAAGGTTTAATGCAACAAATACACGCTCAAAATTATCTTTAAATTTATAATTTTCATCTTTCTTCATTTCCATGCATTCACTACGAGTGCGTTAGCACTAAAATTTAAGTATCTCCTCTTGAACTAAGAAACAGAAGTTAGAAATAGAAACGTGTGTATTCTCTCAGTTCCCAAATTATCTAACCAAACTAATGCAGAATATAAAATATATTCTAATAACTGCACACAATGGCATAATGTGTCAGTACTTACTATTGTATTTCTTTGTATGCACATGATAATTTACAGTCACAAATAATCACTTTTAAAATGGCGATTAAAACTTTAAAATCTGAGTACTGATCCTGGTCTGCGTTATTTAATTTACTCTCCTTGCTGCTAAAACCTCTCTTAAATTCCATCAATAACACACGCATCTTTGGCCTAAAAGGCAATTGGGCATAACTCCCATGGACTTTTTATGCCGCAAATAGAGCCAACAAACACAAATGTTATTCTTCTCTTTGTCCCGCTGTCCAAGTCAAGTCAGGGCCTTTGGAAAGGAAGTCTCCATTTTGAAACAAAAAAGAAACGTTCTCCGAAGTTTCTGGAATCGCAGCCGAGCATGCTGGGAAATTGTTATGTAACTGGCAACATTTCATGGAACGTTAACAAGCAGCAGAGCCCGCCTTGGGGGATGGGCCAGTCGTGCAAAGTCCAGGGCTTACGGCGTACGAACATTTGTTTAGGTGATACACAACAGAAAATGAGGTCGGTTAAGTAACATGTAGTACATGTGAAACACGCCGTTCCCGTACATCTGAGCAGTTCATTCCAATGCAGATCGTGACCACCAATCACGACTTAAACATGTTAATATAACGTGTGCAGTTCATAAAGTGTCGTTAAATAAATGATGACATGCGGACTAGACGGCCAACTGACTTTCCACATCTAACTACCAAGAAGCAAAACAGCACAACGCGCATGCGCCAGTATTTCAAAATGGCAGCGCAGTCAGAGAGCATCAGAACTGATTTCACTTGATACACCTTCGTTCCACTTTCTACGAGTCTTTCACGCACCAGTGTGGGCGAAGACAACCTCATGTCCGACTACCGCACTCTTCCTCGGAATTAGGCAACGCGCATGAAAGGCGTCATTGTTGGAGCCTAAGTAACTCACAACCCAGAACAACACTTCCACATCCACCGCCTTCAGAACCTAACATTTCACACAACATACAAAGATCAAAATCTGTCAATTCTGATGAAGAACCGTGCGTGCGTTTGTATAAGAAATCGAGAAACTAAAAATATATAAAAAAGCAAAGGATCTTGTGAATTGTTGCCACGTCGTCCCATTTCAATTCAAAAGGTCAAGAAGCTGGAATATGAAGTTTTCGACAGTTGCTTATTCTTGCTTGAAAATTTTGTTGGACATTTTTACTTCCGTCTTTTCGAGGCTGGTCAACATTACAGGCAGTTAATCATCACAGTTTTGCGCCAGCGGATGGGACTGGACCTTCAGAGGCCGCTAACTGGTTTATTGTCTTGTGAAATATTCCATACTGCCCAATAATAATGATATTTAGGGTCGACACTGAAGAATTCCGTAAAGGCGAAAACTTATTGTGAAATTTTAAAAAAAATACGGAGGGGTATACAGGTAGGACTCGGTTTACGCCTCTTCAATTTACGCCCGTTTCACTTTTGCGTCTCTCGTTGATCACGATTGGAGGGGGTGATGAGTCATGACTCTGCCCGAAAAGGTTAAGGAAAGTGAAGCTGACTCTGCAATGCCGGTTAGGACACAAACAGTGGAATCAATGCAAGAGGCTATTGCTCTTGTCAATAAGGGATGTGAGATCTTCTGTAGCAACGACCCCAACTGGGAGCGGAGCTCAACCGTTTAGGGAGGAATTGAGACAGTTCTACAAACATACTATAACTTCTTATCAGAAAAGAAGAAAACCAAACAGACATCTATTCCATCGTTTTTAAAGCAGTAAATTTTCTTTCTTTTACTTAAACATTGGAACATTGAAACGCAACCTAATGTATTTACAAATGTTCCCATTATAATTTTGCTTCAATTTACGCCGCTTAATTTTACGCCGGAAATCTCAGGAACCTAACCCCGGCGTAAATCGAATCCTAGAAACCAACCACAGTCAGCTTATCGGCGACATCATAACCTAACCAAATGAGCAACATGTCCAGCAAGAGCGCACCTGTTGTGAGAGACGACTGTCGATTTACGAGGTGCGATCGGAAAGTTTCAAGACTGTGTCAATAGAGGGCGAACCGGATGTAGTACGAGCTTCTGCCGCTAGG